GGTTAATGTTAATATTTGTGGACATTTTCAAAACTAAGTTGGAAATATTTCGCATCTCGTAAATCATGTTATTTTTCGTATGGTATTGGTGACCATGTGTGATGACGACGATGATTATTGTTGTTATTTTCAACTCCCAACGGATTCATTATTCACCAATCAAATCACATTCGCTGCCATCGGTTCGGACTTTTTATTCCGGGTTCATGTCCGACAACGACGACAAAATTGAACTTTATCGATTCTTTTTACCTTCAAACATCTCAGAAGATTTCAGTCGTTAACATTTTCCGAAATTCGATTCAGGCCAAATCAGCAGCGTTGTTACACTTTATGTCATAAAAATCATATAAATTTATAGCTGACATTGGTGTTTCACCATATACTCAACGTATATACCATATGGATATAGTTGGAAAAGTGAAAAAGAGGAATTGGGATTGAGAACATATGGCTTTCTATGGAAAAATTGTTGCGATATTGATTTTCTATAATATTCGTAACGTTTGCGTTTGTTACGCTTTTTCGCCTTGCTCAACACATATACCCGTTGTTGTCAGCAGTCATGAGCTTTTTTTGCCACTACTATAATATACCTTTCAGCATTTGAATTATTATGAATGCCGTTCGGTTTGTTCTATTTCTGACATCTTATTGAAAATTTTATGGCATTCCAATTTATTTACGACTTTTTCACTTTTACATTCGTATTATCCATTTTTAGTACATATCAAGAATACGAAATGCTTTGACCTTTCACTGTGTATCAAACTCGTGCGGAGCACGTTTGTTCTTACTCTTAACCTGGACACATACTTACCGGAGAGTGAAACTGATTACTTTTTTCCTACTGTAATACATGTCGAAATAAAAATGTTGCGGTAGCTCAAGTGTTGGCAAATGATAGCATCTGTATTTTTATGTATAGGCTACTATATTTGAGTGGAATCTATTTCAGAATATTAATATCTATTGATTAGAACTTTGTCTAATAACTTGGCTTCAACGAATTCGATTCGTCTATTTTGTGGGTTGTTCAATGGAACTTATGCTTGGGCTCATGATTTTGACACGCGACACGTATCAGAAGTGAACGTGAAAAGGAAAATTCATTCAAAAGTAAGAGGAAAAAAGCACATCACACGAGCATCCAGCTCGAAGATGTTGGTATTACACTTTCTTGACGCTTATAGACTTTGAGCCGTAGCAATAAGAGTCTCATCGAAATGCCTGGCATTGCGTGAGATCCGCATTTCACATACCGATTACGTTTACAAGGATTGATGTTTTGTGTTTTTATTTTTCGTCAGTGAGATGCATGTATTTTGTTGTTCACAACTGGTTTTCTTAGCGGTGACGGCATTTCACTTCATGTATGTTAATGGAATGAAGAAAAAGTGTTTCATTTTCGGCAATGAATTTCAACACGCATTTTTGGTGAATTTTTCAATTTTTTTTTCTTCGTTCACTCAGTTGTTCACCCAGTTGTATTATCAAATCGTCTCAAATATTCCGACCATATTTCAATGGAAAAAAATGGTTTCAATTTTTGAAATAGAACAACAATGGCCAGGCGAAGACATAACACTTACTTTTTTTTCGATTTTTTTCCATACCGCCATATATTTTTATTCATTCAGGCAAAGAAGATTGAAACTTGATTTTATTTCTTGAGTTTGTATTTTCATTGCAAGCAAGTGCAAAAAAAGGGCAACGTAATTTTTGCGCATATTGCTATAACACAAGTGTTTATGAACGTAATATGATTGGTCCCATAGCTGGTGACAGACTAAAGCAGTTCATTCTAAAAGTGCTTTGGCAAAGTGTGAGAGAGAAATATCGGCCGATGCTTCGTTTTTGTTATGCGTCATTGAGAGCGTTTTTGTTATTTGCAACCCCCCAAAAAATGTGGTCCAAGACAAATTCGTGCGTTTCATTGCCAACAGCAAAGTCGTACTTACGATTTTTCACTTAAAACACATGATCTCTTGAACGTATTTGCGCTCTCTGTCTCTTTTCCATTCTGTCGATTACATTCCTCTTCGGTGAAAAGGTAATAAATTGCTGTGCATCGTTCAGTTGTCGCCTCAGACAATTTTTACTTGAGAAAAACCATACTTGACGAATTGTTACGCTCCGCAAACATGAGATATCTTTCGTCTTTTCCTCTGGTGGTACATATTTCACAGCAATTGCAAAAAATAAAAAAAAAATTCAATACGCTTATTTCTTATGTCTTAAGTAATTCGCGAACATTTGTTTCATTTTTCCCTCTTCTCACTCCATATTCTTAAAGATTTGCAAAAAAAAAAAACGAATTAAAATAATTTCAATGTGAGCTCAGCCGGCAGTCGTTTTTATTTGGATGGCCCATACACGGCGAAAAAAAAAGTATGTCGTTTTTATTATACAGAAGATAAGTAAAAAAATAACGGAAATGTGAAACAAAATAAATCAGAAAATTATAGGACCAAATTCATGGTGAATTTCTATTTTCCTTGTTGGCTGTAACACGCGAACACACACACACATTCGTTTCGAAAGGTGGTGTATAACATTGTAATTTTTGTCGACAACATAATGACCAAAGATTTTTTGTTTTACATTTTGCCAATCGCTGTATGCCGTGCCGAACGGTGCCAGCAAATGACAACTACAACAGCAAAAACAGTGTAAGTTTTTTTTAGCACCGGAAGCAATAATCCATTGCGAATTTCCACATATACCAAGAAGCACACCGACCAAAGCATTAATTTACGACGGTAAATATACTGCATGAAATAGCATGCAAACGAAATTATGACGCTGACCGTGCGAAATGAAATCGACTTGAACATTTCAATGATTAGAGAACAGTAGTTGTTTGCAAAAGCCATATCCATCAAGATTCGATATTTATTGCTTTGGACAGACGAAAAAAAACACACACAACCATTGATGAATAAACGACAATAAACCCAAACACATTTATCTCATCGAAGTGTAAAACATGTGTTTATGTGATGTTCCGCTTGATTCATGTGTCTATTTTTACTCGACATTTGGCGACCAATGAGCCATGAAGTCAATGATTGCAAACGGCTGATGTTTGTTGCATGTTTATTACCTCATCACATAAGAATTTCTTGATTTCATTGATTAATTGTGCACGGTTTTACTGCACATGCTGTGAACGTCATTTCAAGCGTGAAACAATACTACTGGCACCGCTTCAAAAAAAAATCACTTGTATTTCTCAACTCTGGCGCTTCTCTTAGTTCACTTTTTTTTGCTTACAGTGTGCACAACATATCAAACAGAGCACGCTGAACATAATTTCTTGCTTATTGTGCCCAGATTTATGGAATTATGATGTGCATTTATTATCAAAGGAAAGACAGTTTTAGTTTTTGCACACTCTCTTTTTTTGAAGGTGGCCGACGAATGATTTTACAACCTTATTTTAGTGGATTATGAATGCGCAGCATTTATTCACAATCTTTTCAACAATATAACCACCATCGTTTGCCTGCAGACTGAAAATAATTATCCTTCTTTGTTATGTCTTTTTCTGCATCTCCCTTTTTTTATGTATTATCACTACAAATTTGGTTTTAATTAACTGTGTTCCCATTTCACTTTTATCTCATTCTTTTTTGTCTGTAGTCTGAATTTTAATGAACACAAGTAAATCGCCGCGTTGTGTGACGTTTTTCCATAATGTTCAAAGTGATTTTTATCCATATTTTACAATGGTTACTGCAAAATTTCAGTATTATATTTCAATTAAATTCTTTTGGCATAAGCTGATCTTTTTCCCTTTCAGCTGCGCTCTTTTTTTTGTTTACTTTGAAAATAATCAATGGCAGTTTATATGACTTTGTATTAATTTCGCATGAAACTCATTTTCAAGCGGTCCGCATGATATCTAACAAAGGCAGACGACCGATTACTTTCTCTGCATTTTATGAGTGTCAACAATAAATTTCACGTGAATTCGTTTTTTTTTCTTCTGTTGTCTCATTCTTTGCAGAAAAATCATTTCCAAAGCGCCTCAGTAAGCGTTGCTACTCTCCGGCAATATTAGTTTTTCAACACGATGGCAAACATTTCATTTTTCTATGTTAATAAAATGCAAGATATCATTTCACAGCCACGCAGTAAAAAAGAGCTTAATGAGATTTTTGCCTGGTGCGCCACTATGGTGTCGTGTCTCTTTCTCCAGAAACTGAAGGTCGGTCGAACATGTTTGAAACACTTGGACATTTTACAAACGACATAACTACATCACACTTTTTCGCATTGAAAAATTCGAAATCATAATTCAAAATTAATAAGACGATTTTATAGCTGCGAATGATTCTTTTGTTTTCAGTTTTTTTCTCGGAAAAACTTTTGTAGAAAAAGGATAGAAGGTGAACAAAAGAAATTCCAAGCAAGGCATCTTTAAATTGAATTACGTGAAAGCTATGCTAAACTGACTTGGACGGTTGCTTGTGTAATTAAATGCTCGTCTATTTCATTTTTAAAAAAAATCCACGGTCACTGTTATATCCATTTGTGAGAATAATGCATGAAACTCGAAGGTACCACCAAGCAGTTGGAGAACACAAGAAACTGAACCAGATTAAAAGTGAGCACGATTTGAACAAATGAATTTTGCTTCAATGTATGTAAATAGATCATACCAAGAAGTATGAAAATGCCAAATTTTGATGATTTCATTCAAAGTGAAATTTTTGTTGATCTAAAAAAAAAGGACAGAAATATCTGATTTTTTTAGGTTTTTTTTTCAAGAAATATTCCAAATATTTGTTAAAATGTTTGACATAACAAATTGGAGCATTAATGGATTAATAAAAATTCCTTTTGTATAATTTCGCGTTGAACAATAAAAGTTCAGTTTTATTTGATTTAAATTGTAATTTTGTGTATAAAATTCCAAAGGTAATTTCCCCGTTCATAAAATCGTTTACGAAAATAATGAGTTAAAATGGAGTAAATGACATTGTTATACTCACCTTTCACCAGACTAAGAATTCCCAGCGGCATGACTAAAATGGCAACCATTAAATCGGTAATCGCCAGCGACATCAAAAAATAATTTGTAACATTTTGTAGTCGACGTTCCCATGTTATGGCTAAGCACACCAGAATGTTACCGGCGGCTGTGCCAACGATCAGAATTAATGCTAACAACGCCCAATAATTATTTTGATCGTCGATCATGGGCGATTGAGTTGATTCAATGTCGATGTCTGTTATCGACGACATATTGTTCGATGGTGTCATCAGGCCGGTGTCATTCGATTTGATTGTATTGAATGTACTTGCTACGGCCGCCACTAAAAGATTGTTGCTGGCCATTGTCACATTTTCACTGCTATTATCACTATCACTACCGCCAATTGTCGCTGGTTTCAAAATCGACGTATTTATGGTAATATTTTTGTAAATTCGTTTATCGACCGAATCGAATAAATAGTCGACGGAATCAGTGTCAGATGCAATGACTGCATCCAAATTGTTACCACTAAATTGGCTATCAGCGATTGCTGCATGTATTATTAGATTAGATGCGATTGCAATAAAAGTTATGGTTTTACTTACTACTCCCTGTAAATTACGGCCGATGCTAAGCACATTCGTTGTGATTGCTTGCAACGACAATCCCGGCCGTTTTCGATTAAACACTTTTGACTTATTACCGAACCTATTTACACTCACATTTTCCTCTTCTTCCATTTTTTTGAAAAGATTTTATACTTTGATTCTTCTTTTTCACTTCTTCGCTTCTTTAGATATTATTTTTTGTAAATCCAAATGTAAATTGCACATTTATTTTATATAAGCTTAAAATTCACTTTACCATTATTATTTTACACTAAAATCGTATTCATTTGCCCAAGATATATATATGCAAATATATTTTGTACAAATGTTGAACATTGCATTTCACTCATACACACTCATCATTCATAATGGCCGGGGCAAATAATTCTTTGTTAAAATCGAAGAGAACAGTGAATTTCACGGCACCAACCGCCGCCACCATCATCATCACTAACACCAACAATACGATCGTTTGGCAATTTTCTCCATGTAACCTGTAAAATTTATTTGATTTTTAATAGAATGGATTTTCGTGTTTTTTTTTTTCGTTCGTTTTTTTTCCTCATTTCCGAATGGAAGTCGGTACGCTTTTTGCCGCCAGTGAATAATAGAACATAATGAATGGGTTGTGAGTCGGAAAATTGTGACTGAATTTTCTTTGTTTCAGAATTTTATTCCACGAAATTGTAGTTTGCAAATGAAAACAGCCCAACATGCAACATATACTCAATCAGCGGCCGAAAGGTACAGAGAGAAGGAGAACATAGAAAAAACGTCAAATACATATAATGAAAAAATATAGAGAGAGAAAATTGCAAGCTGTTGCTACTTTAATTAGTGTTACGTGTTTTTTTTCTGTCCCTATTTGTGTGCTCTAAGTTTAATTTTATCCCCATAAGTGAATACGATATGATTACGGGCAGCAATTTGGAAAGAACACCAAATTCGAATTGCACACTTTTCACGGCAAACTCAAAATGAATAATCATTATATTCATTTATCAACGCTTTTAAATGTTGACTAGATTAAGATTTCTGAAGATTTTCAATTAATATGATGAATCACAAGTGTGTTGTAAAAATAGACCTGCTTGCAGAATTCAGTGAGAACATCAAGTTCGTACTCATAATTGGAAAATATATGAGATTTTTTTTTAAATTTTATTCAGCTCTCATTTATTATTCTATGTATATTTTTGGATTTGTAACAAAAAAAACGTTTCTTTCTCTCTGCGTCGGGCTGCAGCGATTCAAAGATCTGAAAATTCAGTGAAAATGTTGTCACTGAACACCTGTTTGTTCCAGGCGAGCTTTATCATGTAGCAGTGGTGAATTTAAGCGAACAAACCACTGTTACACGCAAACTGTAACAAAGAATAATCCCCGCTGCTGTTTGATGGAGTGATGCAAGACAATATATGGAGCAAACTAACATCCACATTATATATTTATGTATCCATCCAAAATATGCTGCTGAATAAATGAGAATTGAAAGTTGACACAAAAATCTTGCGTCACCATCTTTGAAGCTCGTTATAATGGTTTTTTATTTGATAAATTATTACTTTCCTTCTTCCATAGAATATAAAGGAAAAAGGTATTAATTTTATTCCATCGCGCGCATAGCATACATATCCCATTTACTACTTTTGTTCGGTTGGCTTTCTCTTTTATGTCATAGCCGCTTTTTTAGGTATTGAAACGACAAGGATTTTTTGATGTTCAACGACAAAACGAATCTTTCAATTTCGAGCTGAATATTAGTGCTGTGTGTTTATCTTCTTTGGTTTCATTTTTCTCATTTTTCGGAGTATGCATTTTTTCTGAAGGCATTACTTACCGACGCAAATGCTATGAAGAAAAAGCAGAGCATACGAGGTAAAAAAGGTAAGTAATATGAATTCGATTATGTTTGCACTCACATTGTGAGTTTTAATTTATATTTCCTGCATGTGCACTTCGTATTGTTGGCGGAAATTTAAAATTATTTGTTGCATTGAAGAAAGTTTTTTCATTCATTCTTTCCTTTTTCTCCTATTTTAAATTCTTTTTCATTGTTGTGTCGAATGACACTTGCTCATAGAATAAAATCTGTGAGTTCGTTGCTCATTTACATTCGCTTACACACAAGTAAACATTTCAAAATCACAGTTGCTTATCATGGCTAAAAATCTCAGAAAAGTATTTTGCCTTGAGTGTTTTGTTATTATTCCTTATATATGTGTGTGTGTCAATCGGCCGGTTTCCTGTCGCCTTCATTTAAAACTCGACTTTTAAATGGAGTGCAAGCTTTTTTTTTCATATTCGAAAAATGGCAAACTTACTTACACACAGAGAGAAAAAAAGAAGTTGAGCGTTGAATTCCAATTTGAGGAATGGAAGTACTAGCACAAATTACATTCGAATTTGCCGAGATTATAATAGTCTTGCATGATTCAGGTCAAAATGGAAACACATTTTAAATGAACAGGTCGCAATTAAGGGATAAAAGTATATTTGTAGATTCAACAAAATTGCAATGCAAAAAAACAGTAATCTATGTGCTTACATCACATTCTTTTTGCAAAACTACACCAAATTTTCATAATTCCAAAATAGCAATTGTTTGAATTAACTCGACATAAAGCAACAATGTACATTATTCACTGGCAAAACAAAGAAACATAACATATATAATTCATAGCAAATGGCTTATGGTATTTATTCTAAGCTTTGGAAAACAAATGTTTTCCAATTTAACAAAGATTTTGTAACTTTTCTCGAGAAGCCATTGATTTTAATGAAAATGTTGCAACACATAAGCTTCGTACGATGAATCTCCATCACATTCAAATCTAATTGAATTTTAATGAAACATATTTGTTTTCTGTTCAAACTTACTCGGTAGACTTGAAGGTTTATGCTTAAAAACAATGTGCGCATAGGTCAATTTGGGTTAAATGAGCAATTGTAGTTTAAAATACTGCGTTATTAAGCTCGCCTACTCGGTGATTGATGATGGATGTGGATGTCCCCGTATGTGTTTCGTTGCATGAAGCCTTTGTACGCAGGTAAATGACGCTTTGTTGACACCGAACAGCATGCATGCATAATTACACATAACTAACTACCATGTTCCTTGCTGGTTCTTCCGCAACAAAGCAGCAATCAAATTTTTACAAGAATTACAACATGGGAGCGCGTAACACGTATTTCATAACACCAATATAATTAAGGCCTGAAAGCAAAGAGAAATCGAGAATATGTAGTATATGGAGCCGTTGACAATAAATTCACATTATTATAAATATAAAAAAATCGATTGCAGATGTCATTTTTCATTATTGAAATAAATGTCTATTGATTGTAATCGCCTATTGCGCCTGAATTAAGTAAACTGCTTAACAGGCTTGTGTATATGGGCTTTCATGCAGGATTATTTGTTCAATTTGTGCGTATGTCGAATGGAAAACCAATAAATCATAATCTGGTGTTGTGTTAGCTTAGTGACTTTGTTTTGAAGATAAAGAAGACTTTGTTGTTGTTTTTTTTGCGCAATTTCATTTTTCGCAAACCGTTTTTCGCTCCCTTTTGCGATCAAATGCGATTTAACTTGGAAAATTGCGAAAACAAAACAGGTAAACATGACGTGATTTCTGTCTAATGATTAAAGTCGATGCCAAAATCTAATTGGATAAAATGGAAACGTTGCCATTTTATGATAATTTGTCACGAATTTAACATCGGAAGTAGATTCATCCAATAAAACTTCTCATCAACAATATTTCGTCAACATATTGACGCAAGAACTTAATTCAGTTTTATGGCGATAGCCGGAGAAATTGTCCTTCAGTTCTTTTTTATCAATGCATTCATCCACCAAGCATTATTACGCTTGACGTCATTTGTCCGACTAGCTTTTTTTCCTTCTTTATCGTCTTTTGATTTCTTGAGAATCATGTGAAAAAACAATAATCTATTTGTCATACGGAATAAAAACTTCTGCTATTTCGAATCCGTTAGAAATGACGAACAAACAGAAAATCCATAAATCCCATTTTCGAGGCATTCAAAAAATGTGCTTGTGTTGCTTGTGAGTTTTAAAATAAATTCATAAAGTTCGACACATAATTACGTTTAATTTTAAACTTGAGAACATGAGCAACAAACACTCACACTCTCTCACTCACTATCGAAGTAAAACGAATATCAACATTGCGTATGTGCATATACGTTTGTGTCAAGTGTCATCAATAGACAATGTAGCTATAGCTCATGTTAATTTTGCCTTTATGCTTCACATTTTTCCGTTCGCGTGCGCACATTAAATGAGTGTTGAGTACTAAAGTACACATTTATCTTCATTCGTTTAACGAATTGTGAAGGAATTTGAATAGATTCGTTGTTGTCTCTGTTTTTTTTTTGTCGATTTTATTATCTTTTGTGGAGCGTAGTTTCATTAACGAAAACTTTTATTTGATTATGAAAGAAGACGTGTTCACATTCTTGATAGTCAGTTGAACGTCGTATTTTCATGTTTTTCAAATGAAACCAAAGCCACCAAGTTCATGTAAAATTAAAATCGTGAGTAAAAATGTAAATAACTCATTTGCGAGCACGAAAAAAAGCAATGCCGTATTAAATGTTCACGTATTCATGTATGTAAACGCATTCCAAATTTATTATTTACCAAAATACGATATTTATTTTACACATGTTCTGGTAGAAAACGGAAGTTGAGTGAGAACGATGTGAGGCAGTATTCACATGCATATATCATGTGATCCTTTTACATTCGCTCATAAATTAATGCCTCATAAAAGTACAATTTGTCTTATGTTGTCATCTTTAAAAACGAAAATTTCAAGATATAAAGAACTTTTATTTTGGTTTTACAAATGCGATTGCTGTCAACCCAGAGAGGTTTTTACAGGTTATTTTAAAATTTAAATATTTTTGGGTTAAACAAACTCACACATCATGCTGATGCGATTCATTTGTGCGACGGATTATGAAAAAGAGAGAAATGTATGCCAAAGCAACGAAATCGCTATGTTCTAACCGGTTTTTGTTTATGCATATGATAATGCATTGACAAAATATTCAACAAAAAAAATCTAGTTAAACAATTACGGCTTCAGTATAAAGTCTTTTCTCAATTTTTTTTCTTCAGTTTTCAGGCATGTAGGCGGTCAACATGCCTCTTTGTCTAATAATTTAAAAGGGCCTTGACAGAGGATTGACAGTTCCATACACATTTTAAAACGAATATCATAGAGTATGAGACGGGGCTTTTTTCTTCATTGCATCAGACTTATTTCTCGTATAGGTTATAAATTGTTGACAGTATGTTCTTGTGGCCATTTATTTTCGCGAACTTTTTTTATCGTCCTTGTAATTTTGTTCAAATTATCATTCAATGTGATGCTACCCTCATTTTTATAATTCATTCGTCATTACCTTTTTCAAAAGAGATTCTCTCTCTCTCTCGCTTTCTCTTTCAATTTTAAACCATATAATAATTTGTATGTAATGATTCTCGTGGAAGCAGATTTTTAAACACTCAAAGGCAAAACTTAGCTCATAAATCATAATTGCCGAACAATTAAAACACGAGTTAATTTTGAGTGTGTTTGTAATTAGGTTTTTTGGGGTGTAAATAAATGCATGTTTACCATATTACAAAACAGTCACACATAGTACTTCATTTGTCATACGAAATAAATGGAATTTGAAATGGTAAAGCATTTTATTTTGTTTCATTAACATTCTTGTGCACACATCCGTCGCATAAAATAACGTTTCATTTCCATAAAGAAATTTTTATATTCCTTTGCTGTCGCACACACCAAAATGCTTTTCCACAATAATTCACATGTTGATGTGTGTTGAAAAAGCTTTTTTACCATCGCTAGCGCATCATTTAACGAGTGGTGATGAGAATGTTGTCACACTAAGCAATAAAATTATATTTGCATTCATAGAAAAAGAGCGGGGGTGCAGAGTGGGGGATATAGAAAAACACGTCGAAATAAAATTTGTGCCAATGAAACATGTTGAAATGTTCGCTGTATTGAAATAGAAGACAGATGCTCAAATTTTGATGCTATTTTATGATTGTACAGAGCATACGTACGAACATATCCGTATACAAAAATATAATAATAATTGCATCCAAAAACACAGACAATGTTTGTAAATTGAAAATTTTTATCTGGCGCTTTGGCATGAGAACGGGAGAAAACGGCAATAGAAAAGCCACTTTCGTCTATCATTATTGACGGCGGATTTTAAATATGACACAAAATGATTTATCCCAAGCGACACGTATCGCATGTGAAACAGAAATTGGCTTCTATTCCACGCATATGACTCATTCTCTCTACGGTTTCTATCACTTATCCGCACTAAATTATGATCAATATGGTTCGTTCACAATATTTTCGCACTTTTAAAATTTATTGCGATGCGCAAAATGTAATACAATAACAACAACAACGGTTACAGTGATGCAATAAATATTTCGGTGTTCGCACTTTACTGCAGCTGCAATAAATTTATGTCGAACATATTTGAAGGTCGTATTTGTAAATTGAAACAAATGGCCACGGCGACAATGCTCCTTTGGGATGGAATAAACAATTTGGCAAACGAAAAACATCAAAAAAGAGCTAAATTTAATAAAAACATTTAAATAAGCTCATGTACCAGGGATTATCGCGGGAATTGGTTGGCTCTGAATATGAATAAGAATTTGGCTTTTGAATCTTTTCGCTTTCAATGTAAATTGGCAAGTCATCAGATGGCAGAAAAAAATATATTTTGGAATAGACAGAAGAGAAAAGGAGCCCAATGTTCATCTTATGGTAATTTTACCAAGTGAGAGAAGGCGGTACAATGATATTTTAATTATGATTTTAAAATTGTCCTCAAGTGTGTAGCTTCGAATCACTGCCAGAATGTATCGGGATTAAATTATGAATTTTTGTCGAATGTACTTTTTGTTTGCGGCAAAATTCGAATGCAATTTGATTTAATGCAGAGTTTCACGCATTCAATTCACATCAGAATCGTTCTCGCTGTTGAACGCGAAAAAGTAGTGGAATGAGAAATGTGCGCGTAATTTTTTAATGTTGTACAACTCAATTTTGATAAAAGAAATATAGTCGAAATCAGAAAAGTGCACGCGAGCACTTTGGGTGAACCGAATTGTAATTTCTATTAACATTGGCGAAATTGTTTGAATTCAAAAACAAAACGAATTAAAATTGAACGAAATACCGAATTATACGATAGAGTTAATAATAAAAAACCACCACTAATTAACAATTAGATTAGAAAAAGAAAAAAAAAAACATTTTAATTAGTTCGAATTTGTGTATGCATGCTTGAAATTTACTTCACGTTCAACTACTTGTACGATTTTACGAGAAATTTGTTTTTTTCCTCTCAATTCATCTCTGATTGATTGTTGAATTCCATCAAACAAGCCACATCTATTACATTTTTCTCACTTCGGTCGCTATTACTTGCCGAACAAAAAGCAATTAAAATTAAAATAACTGCAATGTTTAACTCACAATGGAAATTAAATGAAAGCGCCAAAACAACGGACGGAGAAATCGAATAAAATAAAAGCGAGAACGATGCAAAGTAATTAATTAGTCGGTTTTTGTGTGTGTATTTCTCAAGAACAAGCATGATGCCGTGCATTGTGATGCTGCACACACCCGGATACTTATGTGCAACTAGCTATTACTCTAATAGCCGGATTCGTGGCATGCATTTTTTTCTCTTACATTTTTTCGGCTCGCTTTTTCGGTGCCAGCATGATTTTTTTTAAGTAATAAAAAAAGAGTGTAGAATGTGAAGAACAAAGTCACCAAATACATTGTTTGAATTTCAAGATATCAAGAGAAACTGGATTTATATAAAGGCCCTCTTATTGAGTTGTAATTACCGTTATCTGAATGGCGCTAGCCATTGAATTGCAACGAGAAAAAAAAACAACAACAATGCAAACATGAATTCAGCTAAAAAACTTGAACGAAAAACGATTCGTGTCGATAATTTAGTGCTATCCACTTTCTTGCTTTTTTTATTTGTTTGTCGGTTGTTCAATGCCCAATGAATAATGACTTGCCATCGTTAATCACATGGGCTATGAAAAAAAAATCTACCATTAAAATTATAAAGCCATTAAATTTTCCCATTTTCAATTCGGATTTAATCAGTTTC